AGAATTGTTTTCTGTTAATATTTTTTATAGAGGTAAATTTTCGACCTCTCATTTACTACAAATTTACACAACTGATCGATTTACCTTTAATCTAATCTTGAAATGGCTGAAAGAGGAACATGCAAAGAAGTCTGCTATCTTTAGGGTTAATTTCGATCCAATGAGGACCTGATGCAATCTTTCCGAGAGCGTCACCCAATATTTATGATTTGATTAACCGTGTAAGTCGAGAAGAAAATTTTGCCTAATTAGGCGTAATCTCATTAAAACGATCCACCTTAATCTGCATTAACCACGAAGAGCGGTCTGGAAAATTGTCTTCTCGATCCTTTTTGGTTCCTCGCGCAGCATTCCCCTCTAATTTCTCAAGCGAATTCGCCGCGAGAACGTAATTTAGCGGCAATGCATCAACGATGTTGCGGGGGCAGAGGGTGCCGACAGCAGGGGCTGCATCGAGGATGGTGGAGGGCGAGAGCGACGGAGGACGATGGCGGTAGAGAACAAGAGCTGAAGAGGATGAGGCGGCGGAAGGCGAGGACGACGGAGGACGATGGCGGTGGCGGAGGAGTGCGTGGGAGGAGAGGGCTTGGGAGGACGATGGCGTGAGAGAGCGAGGTCGAGAAGGGCGGATGACGAGAACAGCGGAACACGACGGCGGCGGAAGACGAGGGCGGCGGAAGACGAGGGCGGCGGAAGACGAGGGCGGCGGAAGACGAGGGCGGCGGAGTTGTTGTTTCACACACATCGATGATTTTGAGGCGATGCCGCACACCTACTTTGCAGATTACTGTAGTGCGCGAAGGCAGTGCGCCGTGTGTTTTCTTCTCGGAAGCAGCGCAGCGGCCTGTAGCGCCCTAGGGAAATGCGATACCTCGCCTCCAAAGGGCATTGCGCCGACCCACGCAGCCGCGAAGTAGCAGCAGCTTTACAGAGTTGGCGCTGCTTCTAGAGACTGGTCTGCGCAGAGGGATATTTAGCTTGGAAATAGTGCATGGAAGAGATTGGGGGATGTTTTTTCAGGGGAGGGAAGGGATGAAAGTCCTAACATTTTCTACTTCTGGATATGAAGACCATATAAAGCAATTTATTTGATATTAGACGAAAAACATATTTTAGCTGTTAATTCTCCCTAGATATTAACAGCTAACAGGAAATTTAATATGTATGAAATTTAAACAACGTACGCTAATAAGCTATGGAAAATCGATTCCAAATCGCTATAAGGACCATTCGTTTTATTCAGTCTTTTACCTTTTATTCAACTGATTTGGTTCCATCGTTTTAACGGCCGGCACGCTTAAGATTATCACTAAAAGCCGACTGTTAATACAGCTTTTCGTATCTGTGATAAACCCAAAATATTACTTACTGGAGAATAGAGATACGAGAAGACATCCAAACATCATCGTTTTTTGCCCACCCTTTTTACATCACAGATGCTTCAACACTTCATATTGTTAATAGGTATCAATGACGTTCCCAACCTATCAAAGATTAAAAGACACTGGCACCATATATTACACACCAAAGAACTGTACAACAAACATGAATTTCCCCATCGATTATACAATCATCACAGCATTCAACCGGAAAGCCTTACATCGACACCCCACTAGTACGACATCGCGTACGCCGGATAGTCGTAATCCAATGGAATCCCGATCGTAAACATGTCAGCCCGCGCGATGCGGCCCGTTACGACAGCGCATTTCGAAACGAACGGTAAGCCCGGCATCGTCCTCCCTTTACGAGTGCTACTACGTCGACGGGACGGGACGGCACGAGGTCGCTCTGGTGGCGCGAGTGTCCTTCCGTAATGAGCCATTTGTATGGCGAGGAACGGGGCCGGCGGGGCCTAATGAGAGTGACCGGCGACACGTTGTTTACGGCACCGGCCCGCCACTTAAACAGTAGCCGGCGAGTTTGTTTGGGAGGAGGTATAAGGAGTGACCTGAGACCCGGTGTTTCATTAAAGGTTCTCTCAACTCTCCCCTCGCTGTGGCGCTCTCGGAGTAAAAAGAAATAAAAATCGGGGGGGGGGGAGAAAGTGAGAGCAGACGGGAGGAAGCAACGTACAGCCCCTACTGGAGGGGGGAGGGGGGAGCTGTGCAAGGACGTGGCGCTAGTGAGAATTAAAACGGAGACTGCGGCACTGTGTCCGAACCCGTGGGGTATGCCTTGGTATGCGCTCATTTAATTAAAATGTACTTTTGTTTTGCTCTAGAAGATACTGCCGCCTGGGAAAGAAAGAAATTCACGTGGTTGGAAAATCAGAAACCGAAGGGTTTCTTGAGAGATAATTATTCATGCGATACGACTAGCTCGAATATTGTAAGAATGTTTGACGATGTTTATAAATGAAAGTATAATTTTGAAACTACATGTTTTTCTTCAACTTAATAATCCTATAACTATATAAGTATTTTTTTCATAAATGGTTAGAAGGTTCCAAAATATTGTATTGTGTTTAGAACACACATATACGAAATGAATAAGCATATTCTTAGTACGTATTTGAAAGTATTTTAAATGAGAAACTTCTGCACAGCCATGCAATAAAAACTGCTTTCGTCAGAATTGCAGCACTGAATTATAAATAATAGTTACCAAAAACCTCATAGAATAATTCCGCTCTGAGGTATATTGCTTCAAGGGTTTCCTAATTTTATGGTCATAGAGTGAAATGCAAGCTTAAGGATTCGCCTTACAACAAACTGGGTATGATATATTGATATTAAAATACCTAACATCTCTGGGAATTGTTATTAGAGCAGAAATGGGAAAGTCTCGCATGTGCGAATTTAAAGAAAATTCAATTACCGGGAACCGGAGAACCAATTATGAAGGGCACGTTATTGCAGGAGAACATTGCACCTTCGTATGCCTTCTTGTGCAGGAATATTTACACAATCCATTCTCGGACGCAGAAGGACTCTGGACCTGTTTATTCATGATTAAAACGAGCTTGCTCTTCAATCTCGAGCTCGTTTCCAGCGTCGATACCATCTGTACGAGATGACAGTCGTTAAAGTACCAGTAATATAAATCTAAACCTCTATTACATATCCTGTGCACAGTGTAATTGCGCTTCGAAAGAATAGATCATGACCCTGTCTGTGACGGTTGACTACTAAATTTAAAGAGCAAGTGCGTTCATAAAGTCTGCACACTTAATGCATTGTAAACTCTTTCCTTTTCTTGGAGAATGTTTCGCCCGTCACTACACCTTTGGAAAAATTAACTCTTGATTTATTGAAAGGGATATGGTTTAATACGACTATCTGGGTACAATGTTAATGTTTACAGTAGTTAAATCATATGGAACATCCAGATGAATTCAAGGTCATTGCGGTACTTAACCCAACAAACTTTATGGATCGATAGTCTTATCATCCTTAGGCATTGTATGTGTGGAAAACAAAATTTATCAATTATTCTGTGATATCATTCACTCGCGTCTCTCCATTTTTATTTTATTTTTTTATTTTTTGGTGAACTTTGGTCGAAGTTACACAGTTAGCATCGTGACGCTGATGCTTACTCTTATATTTCCTAATCAGTGAGGAGATGCTCGTGAGTCTAGTCTACTGAAGTGTCCTCGTGAATACTCGAGAAGAAATTGCTCCTAGAATCCGTGTCTATGATTGCAACTACTATACCATAAATTTGAGTTACGAGTTATGAATTGATGATTCAGAAACGTTACATGCACAGATATCCATGATATGAAGCGACTCGAACCCACGACTCTTCAATCAGAATATTTAGGGCAGCACTTCTTGGGTCTGTTTCTTATACTGAATCAATCGATTAGTATATACACGTTTTCGTTCACTTAGTTTAACGGAATAACTGATCAATCTAGAGGTGTGATTTTCTTCACATTGTAGCAATAATTTATGATGTTATTAGCACTGTTTACTGATTTTCTGATATGTATACATCAATTCTCCAACTATCAACCTGAACCTTGTCACGTGGAAGTCAGGAATTCAATGTCTTAGTTTATCTAGTTGAATGACCGCGAAAGCTATGCTGGAACGTTATGAGAAGCAGATTAATGCCTTGGCCAGAACATTTCCCCGACGTACACTCCGAGAACAGGATTTTCAGAGAGTCGGAGATGGTCGAAAGGCAAAAGAGCGGTCAAGGAAGGTGGTTTCATGTACGTCTGGAATCGAATAAAAATCCTAAATACTTTATTATACAAATCGGGGCATAATTTAAACGGTTTGATCCCTTAGCCATAACATTTCTTTCAAAGATACACACCTGAGAACAAATATTTCATTACGTCCAACAAAGATTGGCAAAAACGCGGCCAATGGCGATGATTTTGTAAAAAAAAGAAACAAATCAAAATCCGAAATATTTCATTGCAGAAATCAGAACATTATTTGAAACAGTTTGATGCTTTGGCCAGAACATTTCTCTCAAACGAACGCACCGGAGGGCCCAGTTTTCAGAGCGTCGAAGACTGAGCGAAGAGCAAAAGCGCGGCCTAGGACGAGGATGAGGCGGCTGGAGGATGGCTTTGACTAAGGAGGCAGGAATGCGCGACGGGTGGACGCGGCCGTCACGCGCTCACGGCCGCCGCCCGCTTGACTAAGTCCGCGAGAATGCCCGCGTGAAACCGCACGTTTAGGGCGGCTCAAAGCCCGCGCACGCTCGCACGACCCGCCCGGCACAGGCGTCTTCGCTCACGGGGTTTCTTGCGGATTCTGTTCATTACTTTAGCCGATTTATTATACGGGCTTTCTTGGCTTTTTTTTTTTTTTTCGTGGAGGGTCGATGTCATGACGAAGCGGTGCAAATCCTCCCTACTTTTATACAACTCGTTGAGTTGAAACTTGTTGTATCGAGTTTAGAATAATTAATTATTTTAACAAATGCGATACGTGAAATGTGTTATTTAAGAGTGCTGCACCATAATCTAAGAGAAATAGTACAATAAAACTAAGAAGAGAATTTCATAATCAAAAAAAGGTTTATAGTCATACCTGTTGCCAACCTTTTCAAACAACAGACCAGCAAGCATCTATCCGCTCTTCGTCTGGTGAGTGTTGTCTATTGGACTCTCCCTGCACTAGGGCTGCTCAACTAGGCGAAGCGGCGCATTCGGCTGCGCTTATCTGCGGAACTGGCGGTGTGGCCCGCTGCTAGTCGAGTCAGCCCGAGAACAGGGGACGGAAGGCCGAATTGCTGATTGAGGGGAAAGGAGGGGTAAAAGAGTTTAGTCTAATAAAGGAGAGTGGCACGATAGCCAATGCAGTGAGTGCCTGGGAACGTTGGGCCCGAAATGTTGCATTTGAGCAACCCTCCATGATGCCAGATCGTATTACGTATTACGTATTACGTATTTTGTTATTTAAAATGGTATAAAGTTCAGTGTGAAATATTATTCAAACTAAATAAGCACAATAAAAATATGTTATACCATTCAACTTTTCAACATAAATACTTTAATTTGCAATGGGTTTCTATTGCTGCACGATAACTAACATCACGGAGGACCTACTCCCACGTTGTCAAGCTCTCCTCACCATGCTACAAAGATAACACAACGAATTAACATAAATAGAGCAGTAGTAGTAGTCTCAATTGTGAAATCTTTAACGTTTTGTTTATTTCCAAATAAAAGGAATAATAATACCAATGTACCCACTTCTACTGCAGAAAGTACGGCATAATTGCGCTCTTCAGAGGAGTCTCACAGTTGCGATACAGGATTTTCTAATTAAACTATCAGCTCGATGTATTATATTGACGACAGTACAGTCAGACACAGCGATAACGCAGCTCGCTGCAACGGGCACAGAGTTGGTAGTTACAGGAGAACTAGGGTAAAATCGTTAACGAGACCGCTTTTATGCTAAGCCGCTGGGAGAGAACGATTAGAGAAAAGTCGATATAGATACAGTCCCACCAATCACTACCCCGACAATCGATTGTTCGTTTTACAACGCCCACGTTACGCTTTTCGCAGTTGGCGTCGCCGAAAATTTCATTTGCATAAATGCCTTTGCGCTAACCGCAAAGAGAGGTGGATTAGCACAACTCACAAGGAATTTGCTCAGCCTCATCGACCAAGAAATCGACAATTCTTTTCCGACCACTTTGCATTTTCCTTTGTTGACATCATGGTTAATAGTATTTGCGAAAACACCTTAGCATTATCACACAGTAAAGATGTTTGGTAGAACACACCCATATTTCAGGGCTTTTATATTCTGAAGAATTTTTTATTCTGACCGGATTTCCTGGGGTATCGTTGAGAACAATGTAAATGTCATTATTTGAAGCACGGTGATCATACGTTTATTTGCATTCTTTGACATATTATTCCACTATTTAATCAGTAGCGCGTTGTTCTTTCAAGGTAGCACTACGACATTTTTCCTACGTGAGCATTTTTTGAAAATCTGTTTATCAAATTGAAATGACAGAAGAATTCTTCCATAAATACGTTTGGAATGAAATAGTATTCTATGAAATAAAAATAAGAACGTATATTCCGCTCTTTTTTTAGATCAACAGCTAATGATAATCGAACAGGTTTTTATTGACAGTTTTATTAGAGAGTTTTTATTGATTTTTACAAACGGGTTTAAATTATGTGTTGTAAAGTTTAGTTTCAAATGTCGTTTTCTCCAGTGTCAGAAATATAATATTTACGTGGTTTTACAAAATCTTCCGAGTGAAGGAATCGGTTTGGTTTCAATTCCACCGAGTTGGGAAACTGTTACGACACGACATGCTTACTAAATTATGATCATGGTGTCTGAAGAACGTGTCTCCTTCCTTAGAATTGACCTGGACAACACAACTGCTGTGATGCCAGAGAATTGTGTCAGTCTCACTACTAGAAAATAAAAACTGAATCTAATGTCCTGGAACGTAGGAGAACGACATCAACAACTTTCGGTAACAGAAAATTATACAAGTGTGTCCAGCGGTCCTGTTTTGGGAATGTATCTCTTATGACATTTCTCGATTACGTGTCTCACAATCCACTCTCATTTAAAAAAATACGATTTCTCTTCATTATTCACAAGCTAATGGTATTATATACTGTAATGGTCACTGAATTTTTAACAGGTACTTTGCATCACAAGCAAAACCGTACGCCAATTCGGTTAGGACTACCATTTTCACTGATTTCTCTCCACCAGTCACACGTAGAATCCCAAATAAAAGTCACCAGAAACACTATTCAAAAAGCATTTTTTAAGAGTTATTATGTGGCACGTTATTGAAGTTTCGATCGAAAACGTCTACGATATAAATGTTATTTCAATACTTTAACCTACTTATTTTTAAGTTTGTGAATAAAATAATTATATCCATATCCTTTTTCTTTTACAGGTGAGTGTCCATCTCGATTACTTAATGTGGTGAAGGCAAATATGTTCAGAACACTATGGTAAGTATAGAAAATATATTTTTGATAATCTGTTGCATCTTCTTGAATCAGTTATATGCTAATCGATATGATTTACCGAGAAATTCAATCAAATTTCTTAAGAAATGATCAACGTAGAAAAATTGCTTTTCTTACAAATGTTTATTCTTTCTCTTAAGAACAAGTCCCTTTAAAAAAATTTAGACAGCAGAGAATTATATAATTATTTTATTTCATACAATACAAATTAATTTTTAAAAGTACGTTTTCCAGTTTTTAAACACGACGTTTCAGGAGCAAACGCTCCTGAAGCTCCAGGAGCAAAAGCTGTATAACAAAAAAAAATGTTTAAAGAAATAGAGATGTAAAAGAAATAACGCTGATATTATGGGTATACCGTATTTAAAGCCGGTATGGTTAGACAGCGACAGAGCACCAATTGGTTCCCTATTCACTATCCCAAGTTTCATGAGAAACGAAGAATCAGGTAGCCTGCATACATAAGTTTCACGATTCCACAGATTTTCTTCAGCACTTACAGTGTTTTTGGATACAATCACAATGCTACCTCTGAGGAGACAATACTAATTCAATTCATCAGAAAACGTCATTAAACAAATGTTTAATTGGAGAACTATTGACGATTGATCAATTTAGATTAAAATTAATAGTCTGGATGGAAATGGAATAGGTTTATTATCTTCACTCTTCCAATGTACCAAAAAATGCTTTTACACAGAGTTCTCACCACCCTGATCCAAATCGATATATATATATATATATATATATA